AATTAGGTGCTTCGGCTAATATTCGGGTAGGCTTATACGCAAGTATATATGGCTACTACCTTGACCTTAGCTATCAAACAAAATCAAACCTATTGCTTTTGTGTTGGGACAGGTGGGACAGAGTTGAATTGTCCCCTAGGGCATTGTTGGCTGTGATCTTTATGGAAGGAGGTTCTCAGGCCTTTCTTCAGCAGAGCCACCTTCTGACTCGGGGTGGAAAGGACTTACTCTATGGTTTCTGAGTAACCACAGCATTGGAAAACGAACTGAAGATGGTTTCCCCTGAAAGTGACAAAACTGTTAGAGAGATATAGTGGACTATTCTCAGTTCCTTCCAAACATCGAGGGCAGGCAAGACCAAATAAAGGCTCATCCCAGAGTGCTCCACCCTGCCCTTGGTTCCACCAAGTGCACACCTTTACTGTGTATTTTAGAAAGGACCATTTCTCTAAACCCATAAGACTCACAGCCAGAAGTTCTAAACGTAAAAGACTCATGGCCACCAAGTGGATTCTGCCTCATAACGACCCTAAAGGACAGAGTGGACCTTGGGTTGGGTTTCCAGGGCTGCAGAGGCTTTGTGAATTTGAATCCCTGGCTGTGTGGACACTAGCCCATCATGTAACTCACTGCTCCACAGGGGCTCCTCTCTAACTTCTGTAGCTCTAAAATCTTAATTTCATCACCTTGTGTTTTTCAAAGAAGAAAGATTACTCCCAACATAATAGTCCTTGTTGCAATTAAAAACAATATTCTAATGAAAACAGCAGTGTCATTTCTTTCAGGCATACCTTGTAACTAACCCTTTAAGGCTATTGTTGTGATCCAAGGCCAGTTTTTAAAGCATTTGGCATTTCTGTGTGGACACCGCCTGAAACCTGTCCCAGGGGCAGAGGCAACAGGAACTAGCTTCCCTCTGGCGCTCAGCCAGGCTGAGTCAGAGGACGCACCGCTGTGCGTCAGGGGCAGCCCTCGGAGCGGATGAGTCTCTCTGACCGCACTTACACAGCTGGGCACCCCAGAAAGCACACGTGTGAGGACTCAGCCGTTTCACGGTTCTTCTGTACAATTTGTGTTTCCTCTCTTTCAAGATTCACTGCGAAGCATCTGATCTTTGTAAGTGGGCCCAACGTAATTTGTGGAAAATGAGACTTTTTGTTGTTGTTCTATTTTTTCCTTTTAAAGACTGGATGACTTTAAAAGATAAAAGAAAATATCGGCTTTGCCAAGTTATCATTCCTGTTAGTGCCTGCTTTAGCGTAAGCACCACGATGACAGGTCTCTTCCTCAGCCATAATTTGTATGAAGTATATTATGTGCGAAAGGAACAACCTCCATCCCAACAGAGGCCCTTGACTGCTTATCGTTCACTAGGAACCCAAATGCCCTTGACTTCTTATCTTCAACTCTTAACGCATGCAGCTCAGACGTGGATGAGTCTCTCAGGGCAGTCACAAATGTACCAGTTGCATTCGTTTTCAAAAGTTATTTATTTTCCAGACACCTTTATCAGGGAGGACACACCAGCCCTGGTGGTATTGTGGTTATACATTGGGCTTCTAACCACAAGGTCAGCAGTCAAAACCACCAGAGCTCTGAGGTAGAAGGATCAGGCTTTCAACTCTTGTAAAGAGCTAGTCTCTGAAACCCACAGGGGGCAGTTCCACCCTGTCCCAAATGATCATCAATCGACTTGATGGCAGCGAGTTTATAAGTTTATCAGGTAGGGCAGCCCCAGTGCCCTCACTAGGGTTGATGTCGCCCAGTATGGTAACTCATGGTGCCACATACCCCTTTCCAGGAACCTGGACCAAACCATACAGAATCCTGCAAAATGGACTCCCACGCACAGTGACCCTGTAAGGCAGGGTAGCGTTGCCTTTTGGTGTGTCGGGTCCTGAGCTATTTGCATGATTGCTTTTATGTTTGAGCCCATTGTTGCAGCCACTGTGTCCATCTGTCCTGTCAAGGCCAGAAAGGCAGTCCTTATTTCTAGAACAAAATGGAGCCGGCATCAACTCAACAAATCTCTTCATGGATCTTCAATTCCTATTCTAATTCCATTAGAGCGGAAAAGAGACTCAGCTTACCTCTACCACAATGGTGGACAGTCTGTTGGGTTTGTTCAAAACCATTACAAAGCCTCCGTGTTACCCTTAACTCTTCCTTGAGAATGTGAAATCCTAATTTAGATTCAGTTTTCTTACCAGCCATTATAACCCAAATGTGGCTTGACAACTCATCTCTGTTATTTCTGGAAGTCTTCAAAGAGTAGACAGACACACAGATTTCAATGTTGTTGTGAAATGAATGGTTGCAAAACACTGGGGCAGGGAAGAGAGGTAGAAACATGGCAGGGTTAGGGATGGGGTTTGGGGAGGCCCATGAGCTCCCCGACACAGTACGGAAAATTCTGCATGTAGACACGCATGTGTCGTTTTTCTGAGAAGGTTCATTCTCCAGATCTTCCAAAGAGTCTGAAAACATCCTCTTCTCCCCAGTTGAATCTGGTGACATATTCATTTAAGTGCTGACACAGACAGATGTGTGTTCCCGTCTGTGCCTTCCCCTGCTTCTCTCTTATCCTTCTCCCTCAATTGAATCATTTGGTCAATAGGTCGCTTGGCAAAAAGCACTTTGGAGCAACTTTTCCATTTCTGCTGTTTTATCTTTTATCATCTAGAATTCTTTAGAATGGCTGCCCTTGGCTAACCCATGGTTAGTGTGTCACAGACCCACTTGGCTTTGTTTGCATTCCTTTCACGTTACATTCATCGACGCAGCTTCTACCGAAGGATTAACTCTGCCTTGTGGCCTCTAATGTTTCATGTCTTCCACCTCAATGCAGAGCGATTGTCTGGAGGTCATTAACATGTTCCAGTCACCAAGCTCCTACTTCAAGGTGAAGTGATTTAAGATTTGGGATTCCATGATTAGAGCCAACAGAAAAAGCTGTTATATGAAAGATTCAGGCTTTTGGCAGCACCACTGAAACTGGCTTTACTAGGTCAGAACCGTAAACAGCTGATCTCCCGGGCTTTGGACTCTCCAGGGACAGCCTGCAAAGTCACCTTCAGGAGGGTTCTCCCCTGCTCCCCCTCCCCCTTCCTGTTTGCTCTCCAAATACTCTTCCTAGGGAACTGGACGTTTACTGTTTTCTTGCAGTTTCAGTGACCAAACTGAACACTGAGTTCTTAACTATGTTTCAAAATGAGTGCGTGTAGCCTTCTTAAATAATAACAATATGATTATAGATATGAAATCGTCTTAGGTGCCACTTGGAAATTATGTGGGTGAAAGCATTTTTTCATAGACTGTCTAATTTACAACTCCGCAGGCAGTCATG